TGTATCGGGTCGGGTACGGGGTGGGGGTGTTACACCCCTAGTGTAATGATGCACTAAGTCTTATAACAGTCGAAATATTTGAATTTTACATATAGTGTACGATTCACCTTGAGTATGCATCGATGCACACACACTCCCAACTGTTTTATTTAATTATTTTCACACAACAACGGCTCTATTGATTTCATAAATGATCCCCCAACGTTCAAAGTGATTCAAGGTATATTTAAACAAGCTTAGGAGCCATTGATCAACAACAATTGTGAGAGAAACCAAGAGAAAGCTTTAAACCTCAAGTTTGAGCATTTCAAGCTAAATTTTCATTCAATATTCATTTTTCTTTCAAGAAAACTTAATGTGCTCAATTGTATTCATTTTTAGTGTTCTTTCTTTGTTCTAAAATTGTGCAAACATCTTACCTTGTGAGGTTTTTCTGTAAGTTTGCAAATTTGTGTATTTCTCTTTGGGAGAGAGTGTTATAAGAATTTGGGGTATAATTTTTGAGGGAGTTGTAAGGTTACTCTTTGTCCTCAAAAGAAAGAACAAATTAGTGAATTTGTTGGAAAATCCTTAGTGTGGATAGCTAAGGTAGTGGACATAGACTTTGGTTGAGAAAGTCGAACCACTCTAAATCGCTGTGCAAATATTTTTAATTTTCTGCAAAAGCTTCCACGAAAATTTTTATTGCCAATTCACCCCTTCTTGGCTATTTCATCGATCGATTAACTCAACACCTTGTCAGTAGAGCTGCATAGTCTTTTCCTGTGAGTTTACGGGTCACAAGAGGCACCCCGAGATACCGAACAAGGAGCTGCCTAAATCTAATCCCAATAGCCAACTGGATTTGCTCCAAATCAAGCACATTCAGACCACAAGCAAAACAATTTGTCTTCTTGGCATTCAACTTGAGACTAGACAGCTCGTAAAACTTATCTAAGGTGCTTTGCACCCCTAACACAACATCAAGAGAACCATGGCAGAAAACTAGTAGGTCATCCGTGAAACAAAGGTGAGTGAGAGAGATTCTCTTACACTTGGGGTGAAATTTAAAAATACCATGTTTTGCAGCAGCATCTAAAAGAGTGAATAGGACATTCATGGCAATGACAAAGAGGTAAGGAGATAAATGATCTCCTTGCCTAATCCCCATAGCTCATTTGAAATACCCCACCAAGCTACCATTCAAGGAGAGGGAATACATGTGAGTAGTAATGCAAGCCCTAATCCAGTTACAGAAAGTACAGGAAGACCCATTGCATCAAGAACAGTTAACAAGAATTCCCAACTAACAGAGTCAAAAGCCTTCTGTAAGTCAGTTTTGATTGCACATCTTGGTGAAAGACTTTCCTAGAGTAGCCTTTCACAATCTCCTATGCTAGCAAGGTGTTATCAACAATGTTCTACCCTTGACAAAAAGCTGACTGACTAGGGGAAATCATGCCAGGGAAGAATGGAGCTAGTCTATTAACAAGAATTCTTGTAATAGTTTTATATACTACTGAACAACAAGAGATAAGTCTGAATTCTTTTGCTAAGCAAGCATTTAAAGATTTAGGTACCAAAATTAAGGCAGCAGCATTAAAGGAAGACAATAAACATGAGGACTAGAAGAAATACCTCAAAGAAGAAACAAAGTTAGAACCCACTATATCCATGGCAGCCTTGAAAAAACCAGAAGTATAACCATCAGGGCCTGGACTTTTATCATTTCCTTGTCTAAACAAGGCCTCCTTAATCTCCATAACACTCACCTCTTTGGTTAAAAAAGCAGATGTTCCTTCAGGCAAGGAATAATTTAGCAATCCTTTTAAATTCTTAACAGAGCTGCCTCTAACTAATGGGTCAACAGAACTAATCCGGTTAGTGAAAAATCTCACTAACTCATTAGCTATGCCATCAAAAGAGTCATAATATTGCCTATCTTCACCTTTAATAACTCTGATGGTATTTCTCTTCTTATTAGACTCTACCTTCTGATGGAAGAATCTAGTATTAAGATCCCCCTCATTTAACCAATGCATCTTAGCCTTTTGTCTGTAGAATTCAGATTCAGTCACTTTCAGTTCCACTAGCTCAGAATGGGTTCTTTTCTCATCATCAATTCTCCTCTGATCAACATGAGTCAGATTAAAAATCTAAATTTGCTCCAGCTCAACCCTTTTTTCATTCACTCTGCCAGAAATATCAGAAAAGTACTCCTTATTAAGCTCTTTTAAGAAAGGCTTGATTCTTCTCAATTTATTGAATAGGCATTGCATGGCAGAACCTTCACAATGGCCTTTCCAAAAATCCTTGACTGTGCTCAAGAATTTTTCATGTGAGGTCCAACAATTAAAAATTTTAAAAGGTCTAGGCTTCTTGATCATAGCACCTTTATGTGACCATAATAAACCAAGACAATGGTCAGAGACTCCTTGAGCCTTGAATTCAACAAAAGACTCAGGGTAATCCAGCAACCACTGAGAGTTAATCAGGATCCTATCTAACTTTTGCACCAAGTATGATTCATCCTGCCTGTTTGACCAAGTGAACAAAGGCCCAAAGAATTGATGGTCCATTAGATCAAGCTCCTCCAAACAATCTTGGAACTCCTTCATGTCAGAGGAGTTGTGTGCCCCCATAACATCAAAATCTGAGCTTTCATTGCTCGAGCAATGATGTTAAAGTCCCTACTAATCACCCAAAAGAAAGAGCCAATATCATTCTCTACAATCCTCAAATGCTCCCAAAGACCTCTTCTAGTAACACCATTATTGCTTCCATAGACAGTAGTAATTCATGTTCTATGTCCATCAATAACACCAATGATAGAGATAACCTGGTCACATCTCCTTAAAACAGTAAGCATCAACTGTTTCTTCCATAGAATCCACAATCGTCCCCCTTCTACAAAATCATAATTTTCAGCAAGGTTCCAATCAACAGAAAAAGTAGAAGAGAATTTGGCAAAGTTGTCTCTTCTAATCCTAGACTCCATAAGACAAATGACATCTACATCACAAGATTCCAGCCTCTTTAGCACTTTCAGCTGCTTAAGGGGGTTATTAATCCCCCTTACATTCCAAAAGCTCAGTATCATTAAGAAGAGATAGTAGGAGCACTACTGCTAGTGCCCAACTTCACTACATTACACTTAGCTTTATCAAGATGATCCCTCTTCTTAGCCTTGATCTCATTAAGCAGAATAGCCACTCCCATAGAGGCCACCCTAGTCTTCCTAGGACCATCCACAAAGACTTCTGACTAGCTAGAAGAGCCAACATCATCTTTTTTTCTTTCCCCTAGTCTTCTTCATCATAGAGTCCTGAAGAGAAGGAAAGTCTCCAGATTTAACATCATCCTGTAAGGCATTAATACCTACAACCTCAGCCCCCTGATCATTTACAAATCCACTAGTGACCACCTTATGTACCCCCATTACAGTGGTCTTATCAGTAGTAAAATCCTGCACAGAATTCTTAGCATTCACCAAGCCTACATTCTGAGTGACCTCACTAGCCTCATGTAAATCTTGTACAGATGATTCCACAGCAATACCAACCTGGAGCTCTGAATGCAGTATTCCCCCATTCAAAATATTATCACTGTCAGGAAGAAAATCTGAGCTATGAGATGTCTCCTTAGAACCAACAACATTAGCAAACTTCTTATTAGGACCAGTAACATTGACATCCAATTTATCCTTACTACTAGATTCAGTAGTATTAAGGCCTTCTTTCTTCCTCCAAACTTGTACTTCTTTGGAATTCAAAGAAGCCTGTCTAGCCTCAACACATGATTTTACATGGTGCCCGAACAATTTGCACTTAACACAGCACTGAGGCATCCATGGCACATGCACCCTAATTCTAACATATGACCCGTCTTTTAGAGCAACATGAATGAAATCAGGGATAACACTTCCAGCTTCAATCTCCACACAAAGCTTAGCAAATTCTAATATCTCCTTTGAAACAGTAATGAAGTCCATATACAGTGGGTTGCCTAGAGCACTAGCTATGTAACTTAGCCCTTTTTGAGAATAAATCTCTAGTGGGATATTATATATGTATATTTTAATGTCATATGTTCTATTTAATTATTAGAATTTAAAATTTATTTTTTTGAACAATTTCTACTTACAGGATAAAGAATGAGAAATTTGGTTCTAATAAATATTTAACCTATTACTTAAGAGGAAAAAAATGTAAATTAAGAACTTTTAACCATCTACCTTAGAGGTTAATCTAAATTTTAATTTACACCGCCTCCAATGTAAAAGATGTTTCTATTTATATTACATTAAAGAAATGGATGAAGTGGAAGATTATGAAGAACACGCGCTAGAACTGGGAGTGTGGATCCACTACAGCAAAATAGTACTATAACGACGTTTTTAACCCTATAGCGGCATTTATAAGTGCCGCTAAAAACTTTCCCAAAACTTGCAAAAACGCCGCAAGAAGTGCTGTTATAACGAACGTCGCAATTGTTAGCGGCGTTTATGAAAAAAAACACTGCAATAGGTCTCGACAAATAGCAGCGTTTTTATTTACAAATGCCGCTATTGACTGTGTATTTAGCGGCAAACGCCGCTATTGACTGTATATTTAGCGACGTTTGTCTTTACAAATGTCACTATTGATTGTGTATTTAGTGACGTTTGTATTTACAAACGCCGCTATTGACTGTATATTTAGCGACATTTTTCTTTAGAAACACCGCTATTGATTATGTATTTAACGACACTTGTCTTTACAATGATAGTGTATTTAGCAGCGTTTATCTTTACAAACGCCGCTATTGACTGTGTATTAAGCGACATTTATATTTAAAAACGCCACAAATAAGCCTATTATTAGTGACATTTTCATCCCAAAACGCCACAAATGGCATTATTAGTAGTAGCTGCATGAGTTGCATAAAACACCATTAAAGGCATTCTTTACACTCACAGTAATAATCAATTCTACAAATCAAAGCATATATTCCATATATTAAATATAAACAAGTCACTTGAAACTAAAAGGGTGGAAAACATTAATATACAAAATACATACAAATGTATACATATGTGTTACCATATACTATAAACAGAAAAGCAAACTAGTTGCATGTGTATCTTCACGCTCCCACTTATAACTCTAATATCCAATAGCAATCTTTCCCAACTTCTTGCTACGTACAACTAAGAATCAAATTGCAGGAGCTGTAAACAGCAGGGTAGCACTAGCAGCAACTCCTCCAGCAATAACATCAGTGGAAGTAATACCTGCCAATATGAAGAATATATACACGTATTGTCAGTTCACCTACATCAAGAATCTTATTGTTAATTAACATTTTCAGCCAGTACCAACGCCAACTGACCAGACAACATTTCAACCAGGTGAACTTGTGAGCTCTCAGTCGATGCTCTAGTTCACTAAGGAACCCAAAACCATTCTTGAGTCCTTTCATCATCAGATTTAAATTTGAACTTAAAAGTACCTTCTTAAAAAGGACTAGGACATAAGAAAGGTCAGGATTGGCGCTACATAGTTCACAAAAATTTTGCGTGCTACCAAGATGTGGTAAACACAAAAACAGTTGTGGATGCAACAATTCAAAGGAATATCTCAAGAAAAATAATAAATAATATGAGAATGCCCCAAATTTAGGCACATATTCAGATTTGTCAGCAGTGAAAAAAAATAATAAATTACAATAAAATCGAGAAAATACCTGATTGAGCTGGATGTGTAGGTGGGATAGGAGATGGTGGAACAGGTGTAGGATTATTGAGTCGATTATAAGCAAAACTGTAAAACAACAAAAGATGTAGCAAATCAAGAGACTGGCATGACAATCTTAAATATGAAAAATGGGAACAAGAAGGTGGTGGGTCGGGAGTTGTGAGTGAGGGTGGGAACAAAGTGATATAACATAAGAGAAACCTGGTATGAGTGAATAGCGAAAAGGAACCATTAACTGGAACATCTCCTGTTAGATGATTATTTGAAAGATCCTTACACAACACATGATATAACATCCAACTCCATTAGAACTGTTCTTGTCCCCAAACTTAGACAACCAATGAGGAGAAGAATTCTATCAGCAACACTCACAGAACTTGTAGTGTGTCGATAACAGTTAAGGACACTGGAATTGTTCCATCCAACTCACATCAAATAAGGGACGGGCTTCACATTCCCAAGTCCCACCCACTCAAATTCTTGACGTCCTCACCAAGGTCACCAATTCCGTCAAATTCCCCACCTCCTATAGGATTATCCCAGATACGTTATTACTATAAAGTTCCCTGTTATTTAAAAGAATAGATATTAGTTATTCTTGAACAAGTTCAATTGAAGCATGTATCCAAGAACCTTTGTATGAAATATGCAACTAAATCCAATCAAATACAAGCATCTTCATGATTAAGATGGCAAAACAAATAAACCGAACAAAAGCAATGAAAACCACTGCTAACACCCATTTCTACCTTTTCTAAGGCAGATTCATTTGTCAAGCCATGGACTTATTGGACCTAATTAGTGTAATTAGCAGCTAGGCTATTGAAAGAAAATGATAAAATGATAAGAATTCAAACATAAACACCATTTCTGACCTTTTCCAATGCGACGCATAGTGATTTCATGTGCAAGCAGTGTAGCATTAGGATTGCATTTTTGGATAACAGAAAGACCTGAAGAAAACCATCAGTCAGTATATAGTATAGAAATTTGAACCATAAATATAAAACTAAGAGCATGCTATGTCAGAAGAAACAATCTCAGTTGACATGAAAATGGTTATGAATAGCCTTAGTTGATTGTATAACATTATGAAATAACATGTAAATATGGTTCCAAATACATCCTTTTTTAATAAATAGTGAAGTCAGCAGCTTGTTGGACCTCATTATAGGATGTGACTTAAGCCTCATAATCATACAAAATGAAACAGTTAAAGCGTACTTCCAGAAAGAGATTCCTTGGTATTCTAGAAAACACAAGGCAGATTTTATCTAGTGTTCAATACCCATACACTGTAAGAAAGTGTAGAAGCGGGCCAATTGCCAGCAAGTTAAATAAATTCCTATAAACACCTGTCCTTGCCAATGCATAGACAATAAGCACAATTGCATGAAGATTACAATATAATAAGCAAACTTACATGATCAATTTATCTAGTGTTCAATACCAATACATTATTACATATACAATATGAACATATGCACATTTTTCTTTAATTCAACCCGTTTTTGGTATATCAGAAATCGAGTAAAGCATAATATCACTAATTGAAATTTGAAAACATCTCTTTCAAAGAAAAAGAAATTTGAAAATATCAAATGTTATATCAAAAGCAATCAAGCTCAATAGGAGAATACTAACCTAAAACATATGCAGTTCATAAGATATTCGATATGCACAAGAAAATAACCAAAATCGATTTTGGTTTTTGGATTTTTATGTTTAATCTAAGGCTGAGAAACCAGTTGACCAGTGAGGTTTGCATTCCCAAGATCGCTGATTTCAGAAAATTGAAAAACGTCACAAGAAGGAAAAAGCAAACTAGCACAATGAAGGAAGAAAATTGAAAGATAAACAGAGAACCTTAGAACAAAACCCATCTCCTTCTCGACCTTAGCTTGCATCTCACGAAGAGCAGCGACTTCATCCTCCATCTCTCTTAACCTTCTTTTCATGTCATCGAGGTCCTGCAAATTTCTCCAAAATTATGGTTTAATAAAAATAGGAAAAGCCCTAACAATAATTTATCCAAAATTATGATTTACTAAAAATAACGAAGGAATCGAACCTTTTCGAAGAGCCGTTTTTGAGTTGAAATGAAAGAGAGGACGATGAATGGGAAAATACAGGGGATTTGGAATTTTATAGCAGAAACCAAGGGCCCATTTTTAGTTTAGGGTTTCTCTTATGGCCGTTAGATTTTAGTGGTCCTTGATCCAACGGTTGCTAATTAAGTTTGCCACGTCGGATGTTCACACTTGATGATGTTGCCGTGGGTAACACTAACGGTTGCTAATTAAGTTTGTCACGTCGGATGTTCACAATTGATGATGTTGCTGTGGGTAACACTGAGGCATTTTTTCCAACAAAGGCACCATTTAAAAAAGAAAAAATAACCTCAGTGATTAAAAATGTCTAATAATATACGATTTTAATTAATTTTTTTTGGATTTGCCAAAATGACCAACTAAATCGCAATGCGATCGATAATTCGCAACGCGATCTCCGGTATCGCAAATCAGTTTCCAGATTCGCAACGCGAACTTCGACTATCGCGTTGCGATTTATTACAATTCGTTGCGGTAGTCCAAGTTCGTTGCGATAGTCGAAGTTCGCGTTGCGATTTATTTCAAATTCGTTGCGATAATCCAAAATCGCAACGACTGGTGGTATTATATTTGTTTCTTAAGAATTTTCTCTAAAAAGATAGTATTCGCGCGGACGTGTCGAAGACACGTATTACCACGACCACGACCCGAGACGAGATGAGACGGTCGGCGGCGGTGGCGGCGCGCGAGAGTCCCCCTTGTTCTCTATCACTCAGCAAGGAAATGGGAAAGCCAAGCCTTAAATACCATTTCCAATAGTGTTTCCAATACTATGTGGGATTGAGCATTACCAACACTTGTTTCCAATACTATGTGATTATTCAGGAAACAATTAACAATCATGCACCTTAAAACAACTGAATCAGCAACCAATTGCATTGGTATTATACGATTAAATATGTCATAATTAAAAGTCAATCTACAATCAATCGCGATTATTGCAATTTTAAGCAAAACATTAAAAAAAATTGCATCACTCGCGATAATAAAAAAAATTGTTATCGTGCAATTACAATCAATTGAAAATAAATTAGAATTGCATGAAAACTAAACGAACCACAAATACTTTTCATACAAATACTAAAGTCATTAACTATAATTCACAAATAATATCACTATTTAAGGCTCAATCCCACATAGTATTGGGAACAAGTGTTGGTAATGCTCAATCCCACATAGTATTTGAAACACTATTGGGAATGGTATTTAAGGCTTGGCTTTCCCACTTCTTTGTTGAGTGATAGAGAACAAGGGGGACTCTCGTGCGCCGCCGCAGCCGCCGTCCATCTCGTCTCATCTCGTGGTCGTGGTAATACGTGTCTTCGACACGTCCGCGCGAATATTATTTTTTTAGAGAAAATTTTTAAAAAACAAATGCAATACCACCAGTCGTTGCGATTTTGGACTATCGCAACGAATTTGGAATAAATCGCAACGCGAACTTCGACTATCACAACGAACTTGGAATAAATCGCAACGCGAACTTCGACTATCGCAACGAACTTGGAATAAATCCCAACGCGAACTTCGACTATCGCAACGAATTTGGAATAAATCGCAACGCGAACTTCGACTATCGCAACGAACTTGGACTATCGCAACGAATTTGGAATAAATCGCAACGCGAACTTGGACTATCGCAACGAATTTGGAAAATCGCATTGCGATAGTCGATGTTCGCGTTGCGAATCTGGAAACTGATTTGTGATACCGGAGATCGCGTTGCGAATTATCGATCACATTGCAATTTAGTTGGTCATTTTGGCAAATCCAAATTTTTTTTTATTAAAATCGTATATTATAAGGCATTTTTTGTCACTGAGGTTATTTTCTCTTTAAAAAAACAAACTTTTCGTATTATTTCCATAAATTTTAGTCATAAAAATCTTATTAAATTTATAAATGTTATAAAATAGTTGTTATAATATTATAACAAGTATAATATTTTGATAAATTTAAAGTTTATTTTATAATAATTTAATAAATTTTAATAATCATTAATAATAAATTGATTAATTTAAAAAATATTTGATAATTATTTAAAGATATTTAATAACATTTAATATACTTTACAACACTTATTATATTCAAAATCTTCTTTCAAATCCCAGAGTTGTTCAATAGTCCTAAATGCATCATAAGTAGAGTGTACCGAGAGTAACCCAAAAGAACGAATTAATTGATATCATTTCGAAATTAATTTTCTCAAAATCGTGTAACTAAAGTAGACAACTTGATCTCAAAATTTTCTAACGAACTCACATTTTGGTAAACTTGCAGCATTTGTAAACACAAACTCCACTAAAGTATGAGTTGTTAGTGGTGTTTGTATAAAAACGCTACAAAAGTATGAGTCTTTAGCGCGTTTGTATAAAAACACCACTAAATAACGAGTCGTTAGCGGCGTTTATATAAAAACGCCACTAAAGCACGAGTCTATAGCGGCGTTTGTATAAAAACGCCACTAAAGTACGAGTCTATAGCGGCGTTTTTATAAAAACACCACTAAAGTACGAGTCTTTAGCGGCGTTTGTATAAAAATGCCACTAAAATATGAGTCTTTAGCGGCGTTTGTATAAAAACGCCACTAAAGTTCATTCTTTATCGCCGTTTTTATATAAACGCCACTAAATCACGAGTCTAGTACGAGTTTTTAGCGACGTTTGTTCTAAAAACACCGCGACAAATGCCGCTATTAACCCATTTTGTTGTAGTGATCCTAATAAGTTAATCGTTGGATATTCAATCTTAATTGTATATTTTAGCCACACCACGACCGAAGAGACGGTATGCTTAAGTTTGTTCGATAAAAGAGAGAAAAATGAAAGAAGAAAGCAGCAACAGAGGTAGTAGTATTATTATGATTGAGATTTGAGATGTGAAAACAAAAACAAAGTCTGATATTGTGTCAGGTATTAAGGGTAATCTCTCTCTTTTTCCCTATTTCCCTTTATCAAATCAATCTCTCCTCTTCATATATAACACCTCCTCCAAACAGTATACAGAAGCCTCTTTGTTCCTTCATCAAACATAACAGTAACTTCTGTTTTTAATCTGATATTTGTTTAACATGATCAAGACGAAGAGCTTTCATTTCTAGAGAGTGTTACCCTTTGCTAAAACTCCAAAAGCTAAATTACCCAAAGCTCAGAATTTGGTATACCAGGAAAAAGCTTTTTTTTCCCTTTATGAGAATTCAAAGAATGGATCTTTGAAGCCTCACCGGTGATCCGTTGGTGTTTCCCTAGTTCCCGGAGAAGAGAACGGTGTAATTAATCTCACTGCTTCTTTTGACTACTATATGATAATACGTATAGTTTTGAGAATTAATGCTTTGATATTTTTTTGGGTCTATATATATATATATTGAAACTAGTTGTAGTTGGTTTTGAAGGGGATTATAGACGTGATGATGGAGGTGACCTCATCCTGCAAAGAAGGGACAAGGATAGCAATGGATAGTGGCAAGTATGTAAGGTACACGCCGGAGCAAGTGGAAGCTTTAGAACGTTTGTACCATGAATGTCCTAAGCCTAGCTCCATGCGTCGCCAACAGCTCATTCGTGAGTGCCCCATCCTCTCCAACATCGAGCCCAAACAGATTAAAGTTTGGTTCCAAAATCGAAGGTACATATTTTTCCAAATCTTCAAACATAAGAGTAATCCAGTCATCTAAAACAACCCTACCCATGCATGTTATACAGTAACTTCAATTCCTTTTAGATAATTTTCAGATGTAGAGGAAAACAACAAAAAGAAGCATCACGCCTCCAAGCAGGGGCGGACCTATGTGGCCCAGGAGGTTTCAAATGCATATCCATTTTCCTTAAAAAAATATCAACATTTAATATATTTTATTAAGAGTTAAAAATTATGCATACCTATTTCTTGAGCTTTGTACTTTTTGACGTGAGTAAAAAGATAATATCAACCTTTTATTTTAAAATTTTAAATTAAAAAAATACTGATTAAAATAATATATATTATTTTACCTTTTACAACAATTCATCTCACCTTTTTTACTTTCTCCCATTTTCCTTAAAACTGTCAATATTTAATATATTATATTAAGAGTTAAAAATTCTGCACACCTATTTCTTGAGCTTTGTGCTCTTTGACGTAGGTAAGAAACTAATGTCAACATTTTATTCTAAATTTTTAAATTAAAAAATATTGATTAAAATAATATATTTTATTTTATCTTTACAACAATTCATCTCACCTTGTTTACTTTCTCACTTCTAAAGCTTCTGTTTTGTTTTTTTAATTCAAAACCAGCTGCTATGAAACCCAACTATCGGTCCCTTGGTTCAGTCTAAACTAATCGTCACGACGTCATTCATCGACGATTTTCGATTTTCCAGTGAACTTCTCCAACCAAGCTGCCTGCAAGTAAAGTACAACTCACTTCTTTTGCTTAGGTTTTCTTTCTTTTACCCTCTTAAATTTAGTTAAATTCATATTTATGTTTTTGTGTTTTTGAAATTTATT